TACTGATAGGTACCGCGGGCGCGTCTTCGAAGCCGTTGAGGCAGCTGCTTCGCTTGGAATTCCGCCGCTTGATAAGTTGAATCACGCAGGGGTGCAAGCCACGTCGCGCTGCATGGCAACCCTGCATTCTCGATCAAGGCTTCGGCGTCCACATTGCACTTTCTGTGAGTTGTCCATTGTCTCCGTTGTGGTGGTTGTGCGTTCGGAACTGGCATGTTTCCTCCGCTCTTGTTATGGCACAGCTGGTGTGATTATCACAAGTTATCTGTGCTTATGTAGCAACATTGTCCGGCGCGTTCAAAGAATCATTGCAAAATACAAATAATTCCTGTCTATGTTGCGGTTGTTCGTATGACAGCAGTGGAGACTAAACGCAACCATGGCGGCACCGATGGCGCAGGAACCTACGTCGACTTCTCACAGTAAGGAGAGCTGTAAAGTTTTGGAGCCGACGAAGGAGTTCTCCTGGCAACCAGTAGTGGTTCATCAGCATAAATCTCAAACCTTTCGTTCTGGCTGAGACTCGGAAGCAGAGACTTGGGGTGTGGGCGGCGCATAACGCAGTTATGCTAGGCACACCAGCGTGATGCAGTAATCGCCGGGTTCTCAGACTGTGCATTCGCAGTTTGGTTAGCGAGCCCTTGGATCCTTTAGTGCAGAGGTCCTGCAAGCACGTGGGGTTGCTTTTTCTCGCACGAGTGGTTGTAGCGGTCCGAGCTGCGCCTGCTGTGATCGACCTGTCTTTGACAGGGTTTGAGGTGATCTAAGAAATTGGTAGCGTCGGTAGATGACGCTCTCAGCGGAGTGACTTGAAATAGTGTAGTCCGTGTAGTCCATTGACTCTGACTTTGAAAACAAGCCCGAACTGCAGCTGCACTCAACAGCCTATTAGCGCAGAGCAAGCCCCAAGCCTCAAACCTTGCAAGCCTCAGTGTTTCGGCCTCAAACATTTTTGATGTTCGCTCACAGTAAACTTACAGCAGCAAAAGTGTTGCCAATAACCTGAAGGCTCACTGCTCGCACTGAGGTGGTTTTCCTCCCCGATGCGCCTGGCGGTTGCAGCGGTGTGCTGACATTGGATGATCGGCAGGCAGGTGTTGAGACGCATGATGTGTTTTGCATGGCACCTGCTGTTTCTTTCAGGTCTCGCTGATGGTCTACTCCAAGCCTGCCGGCGACATGGCAGCGGCGGCAGGTGACAAGGCAGCGGCGGTTAATGCACGGAGCCGGACACCCATGCACTGTGTATTCAACCGCAAACCCGAGCTCATAAACCTTTTGGTACGGGCAGGCTCGACTTTGCGTTTGTCAGTGCGACATTCTTTGATGCCAACGTCGTGACAGACTCAGCCTAGTTGCGGGCACCGATGGAGGGTTCGGGTTGAAGGATAAGGGCTCCCAGCTTTGTTGGGACCCAGATGATCATGAAATCAGAGCTGGCTCCGGAATATCGAAGGTTCACCCCCGGCCGGCAAATTCCCTCGGCCGATCCTCTGGCCAATCCTTTGGACCGTTGGGATTTTGATCACACGGGTTTAAGGTTTTAGGGCTATAAGTCATAAAGTTTAGCTAGTTTAGTGTGTAGGGTTTCGGTTTACGAACTTTCGAGTTTAAAGCTTTCGGGTTGAAGGTTTTGGTGTTTTAAGGTTTAGTTGTGTTGGGCTTTCGGGCTTTCGAAATTTAGGTTGGAAGGCTTTCAGGCTGAAATGTCTTAGGGTTTAAGGTTGGGTTGTTTAGGGTTTACAGCTTTCGAATTTTTGGGGTTTAGGACTTCCGGGTTCAAGATTTAGGGTTGAGGGTAGAGTTTTTAGGGTTCAAGGGCAGAAGAAGTTCGATTGCCCCCCGTGAGCTTACTCTGATCAGGTTCGTTTGGCTGCGACAGTCAACTTTGAACCACAATGTGCAGCACCTACGTGAAGAGATGCAGTCATCACAGCTGCGCTCTGAAACATAGGCCCCGGCAGCCTTAACTTTTCCTTCCAAGCCTTCACCTGCAAGTTCGATGATTGCACACCGAGGGCTGCTGCATCCAACGGTGTGAAGACAAAATGTCTCAGTTTCGGCGCCGGTCTTCGCTGTTGGCAGACAGCGCTGCGCAATCTCGGGGATGGTAGTCTGGAGTCTCCCGCTTCTCATCCAACGCAGTACTGCATTCTTTCTTGTGCGCGTGTATGTGTGCAGTACTGCTGTTACTATACTCGAAGCTTGAAATCCGTGAGGCTCGACTCCGGTACAGTGTGTCGATGCAAGTTTGCACCGCACGCTGTGCTTAAAGTGTAAGGGGGCTTAGCTTCAGCATTTTCGCGCCAATCGTGTGCGTTCTGCTGCCGTAGTCCGGCGTCACCGCCTAGCTTCGCAACTGAGTCCAAAAGACTGCTTTGGGTAGCAGTGTCACACAACATCTCTGGTAATCCGCAACCCAACACATCCAAGTTTGTAAGGCTCGTTGGTTTTACGCATGTTAAACCCAATCTGGGTGGTCTAGAAGGGGACGGAGCCAGGAAAGAGCCAAGCTTGTCGTGTAATGTTCATGCTTTTCGCAAAACGGGAAGGGTTGTGGTCATGTGCTGCTGCTGCTGCTGCTTTCAGATTCCCTGCCTGTTTAGAGTCCAGACATTCAGGATCGAGGTGCGCACCAGGTGCAAGTTCCGGTGTGGTTTTCGGGCCGGGGTGCAGGGCTTTGGGTTGGAAGTTTTGCGTTTTGGGTTTGGGGTGTGGGGTTCAATGGCTCCGCTCCAACATGCGACTGCAGCTGTTCTGCTTGAGTCTTGGAGTTTGGATGCACGCACTCACGTGCAGAAACCCTCTACATCGACAGCTATGCGAGTTGTTGGGTAACGAGGCTGTGATTGAGGAATGTTCTTGGCCACGCAAGCAAGTCGCATAGAACAACTCGGGCGTCTAGCGGTCTATCGTGGACCATGTGGCTTCTCGGCGCAGGAGCTCGGATGAGTCTACAAATGCTTGCCTTAGTGACGACTGTGACCCGGACAGTGAGAGCAGGAGATCTCGTTGGCTGGCTTTCGCAAACCGCCGAGGCCTTCCTATAGGTTTGGGATGGAGAGTCCTGGTCACGGTTTTTCAGATTCTTGCAATTGCAGGCCGGGCTCGAGTGGCTCTTGGGCGCAGAGGCGGTGGTCCTGCGTTGCCTTCCCTGCCCTAAGCTCGTGATCGCAGGCTGCGGGGCCTTTGGCCTTGGAAGATGTGCCCGATGCCGAGCAGCCATAGCAGCCGAGTGCGCACTTGCTTGCAGCACGGTGTCGCCGAAGGCCCGTTTCTGAAGGAGACCCAAGCACTGGAGCTGAAGCTGAGGAGCGGAAAGCTGATGTTTAGGGTTCAAGGCTGTTGAAGGCTTATGTTCTAGACTTCAGGGTGACTTCAACGAGCCGTCTTGCGAGGAGCTCGCAGTGGCGACTGTGCCCACGGAGAAGCCTCGTTCAGGTGAAGGGTCACGTGGCTGCATCTACGCGCCCATGGGCCTTGATTCCTATGCATGAGAAGCTTCCCCCAACATGTAGCCGCCGAGAGTGCAAAGCTTTCAAACGTCTGGGCTCCTGGCTGACACCAGCTTTGCCTTGCCGCTTGATTTCTGCCCTGGGGTCTAATGGATTAGATCTAAGTAGGTGCGTTTGGTTTAGATTTAGGTTTTCCGGGTTGTTTTGCGGGAGCATGGATCAATGAACCGAAAGCTGCGAGGTCGAGTGTGCACGACTGGGTCTGGGCGCCTCGCCTCGGCAAGTCTCTGCGTTTTTTGTTTGGTGTCATTAGGGGTTGTAGGGCTAAGGATTCAAGATATCATACCATTAGTTGTTGTGGCAGCAACTGCAGCAGATTGAGGGCCGAGATGGCGCAATCTCATGGCTTCCGTCCTTTGCATCCCTTTTCGGTTGCTCCACAGAGGCGGGTCGTGGAAAGATCATTGTTGGTACCCTGTCGTTGGAAAGCGTTGGGGCGGACGTTTGCCCTTGGACTTGGAAAGGCAACTGATGCGGGAAATGCAGTACTGCTGTCCCTGCCGATGCCACTTGGCATTTGCCTGGCTGCGGAAGCTTGATCACTAGACTCAGTAGACCTGAGACTCTTTAGACCCCAAATCCTAGATCCTGCGGTATACATCCTCTCCGATTGACTGCGGGAGGTAAATAGGCTTGACCTGAACATAAAGCTTCAATCCTAAGCCGTCAATCCTTACTCCCAAGCCATCCAACCGGATACATGCAGAGAAGCTGAGGCCGTTCTTGTACGAGTGCCTCCAGGCAGGTCGGTACGGGGTTTAACTTTCCATTCGACACAAACCTGAAGTCTTCGATTTACAAGGCCTGAAGACTAGGCCTGAAGATCTCATGTTCAAGAAGTCCAAGATTCAAGCTTGGCTTGAACCGTTCCATGTCTTCTGTGACCGCTTCTAGAAACCATGCCTGCAAGAGTGAGTTTTTGGCCAAATCCTTTACACCTTCGGCACGGCCATCAATCAAGGAGCCCGGCCAGGCAAAGAGCACCAGCCACCAGACACACAGCACAAACTGGTAAGTCTTGAGCGTCGCACTGGGTGGAGGTCACGGAGTTGCTGAAACTTTTGCAGAGTTCCTCTCAGACGAAGCCTATTGCAAAGGCTGGGGCCCAAACATCCGGAAATGAGAGAGATAAAGACTTGCAGCTCTTCACTGTCACAAAATGGCAGCCAGGCCGTGATGAAACATCTACTTGAGGGAACTGGCTTCCACAGGCGCGGGGGGAGTCTTCACGAGCAGCTGTGGGTGAGGGTCCCAAGGGTCAAAGAACCGCAACAGGTCTTCCGTTCTTGTTGCTGGCTATCAGGCATTTGACAGGTGCGCTCTTTCTTGGATGCATCAGATGCATGTTTCCTATGTTCACTGGTTTTTCTATGTTTGCCGAGACTTTGTAAGACAGGCCGTCTTCGTCGTGGCTGAATGGCTACCCAAAATTCGAAAGGCCCTTGACACCGAGTGATCCGCGATTGATGGAAGTCAATGAAGGCCATGCGGGGTCGCGGCAGGCCCGTCGCGCTGGTCCTTGATGACGAGACAGTAACCCGCAATCCTGGTGCAGACTTGGACAAGCAAACGCTCAAGGTTGCTGACTGTAACTTGACTATCAAACAATAAAATCGTACCAGGATTTGTGTTTCTCTTACGTGTGTTGGATAAGATCTCGTGATCCGAGGCCAGAAATGGTGGCTGCAGCAAGTACACCGAGCAAATCTCACTCCGGAGTGCGAACGCTCCTTCCGCTTGGACGCGCAAGATATTTGCAACACGGTGAGCAGCCTGCGGACGTTCTCTCAGAGTGAGAACCGTGAGGTGCGGCATGCTGCGTCCAATGCTGTCTGGTCTTCCTTTCGTTGCTCCAGTCACGAAGTGCAGCGCCTGTTCTGCAAAGCGGTGATGACGGATCTTTTCAAGGTTCCCGCTATCAAAGAAAGCCTGAAGGCTTGTTGCAGGCAAATCCGCTACGTCTTTCGAGCTCTCGAAGACCGGGAGCTGCAGGACGTGATCATGATTCTGATGTGCAGATTGCTGCACCCTGCCGAATGGCAACATCTGGCGGTTGACACTGAAAGCGAGCTCAAAGCCGTGCTTGAGATCTTGTTGGCGGCTTCAAGCAAATATGATTTAAATGCTGTTGCCACCCTGCAAAAACGGCAAACCTTCCTCATCCAGCATGATCCGTCGAATAGGCAGATCGAGCTTATTGACGACCTTTTGTTCGTGTGTGCGCACTGAAAATTTGGGCCTGCTTTTGTTGTGATTCGGTGTGCTCTTTCTGCGGAAGCTTTGCGGCCCTCTGGTTCGCGCGTTGGCTCTCAGTTCGCCGTGGTGTTTTGCATCTATAGGATGCGGCTAAGGGCTCATCTCACGACAACCCATGTGCATGTTCTCATGTGAGATTCTCGTAGCCGTTTGGGCTAGGCCCACATGGCGCCGCAAAAGGTGTTGACACAAGCCCAGATCTTGAGGCTTTCTGAATTTGCTTTAAAGGAGCAAGCGTCATCACCACAGGCGATGTATCGGAACTTGAGCCACGTGCGGCTTTTGCTAGAAAGGTGGTTGGTGTGCAGCCAGTGCAGGCGCATCGAAAGTCAACGCTCGTTACGTGCACGCGTGCGCGGCCAGTACGCTGAAGCTTTGGTAGTGCAAGACATGATATGGGCATCTACATGGGGATCTGGGCCTTCAGATGTGGGTGCATCCGTGATTTCAAATCTGCGGCCTACGTCTCGCGACTCGCGCGCACGCGCAAGTTGTTAATGTTGATGGCATTGCTACGCAACGCATGATAAGGGCGTCCACGCAAGCGTTTCGCATTGGGGCAGAGGGCAGTTTTCATGTCCTCCAATGGCTGCATTTCCGCATCGTTGTTTTACATGCCTGAACCATCCTGAACCCACGAGGCCCCCTTACAGAACAAAAAAAACCATGCCCCGGAATGAGTTGTAACGCGCGTCCCCTGAATAAGAAGCTCCCGGGTCTGACTGTAGGCAGCTTTCTGGCCATGCGAACACTTGCACACTTGTGTAACTTCTTACGGAACACAGCGACCGATCGATGCGTGGGCATCTTCGTCAAGAAAAGTTTGGTGAGTTTGGGCTGCCCAATGTTGCTCTTTTCGGCTAAGTTGTGACCGGGCTTTGTTTGTGCTCGCAATTCCAAAATATTGAGATGTAGGCGAGAAGCATGCAGCAGCTCCAGCACATCTATCTTCGAGTGCAATTCTTTGGCACACGCCAGGGCTGAAGCCAACGGGGCGAAATCAAAAGGGTGTTTCTGTCTTTGACTGCAGTGGGTTTCTTAAGGGTTCTGGGTGCACCGCAGACAGCCATGCCGCCTTTTAACCCGGACGAGGCTCGGTACATAGGGGCCACGGTGTGTGCTTAGGCGCCAGTTTCTGGGTCGCATTGTAGGGCATTGTTTATTGTAGGGTTTTGGATGGGATCGAGGGTGGCGCGAGCAGCTCCTCTGTGATCGCTGTCCACCTGGTTTCAGCATCGCGCATTCACACCTTGAGGACCGCCATGTCCTGTACATCCTCCGCAATAATGCCGACGTGTCCAAGCCCTTTCTTGAGCTGAGCGTCGGTGACGGGTTGATAGCGGATCCTAGCGCATTCGGGTTTCTCCCAAGGTCGCAGACGGTGCAGCAGGTCATGCAAGCGGTGTACCTCCTGGACTGCCATGAGGCATTGGGCACACTTCAAGAATCGTAGCCTGGCCAGTGGTGGTAAGTCGGTAAGTGGTGACGGCTCACTGTCCATTTGGCGGAAAGGTGAACATCCATTGGAGGCACTCCCGCGAACCTGGGAAGCCTGGACCGTAGCAGTAAACCACATGAAGACCGCAAGCCCGCACAGACCACGTTAAGACTTGTGATTGTCTGAGGCGGGGCTGTCCTGTGGTAGTGGATGGCCAAATGCGGCTCGGCATATCTTGGCACTAGGTTGGCGACGGGCGCAGAATCTCAGAAGACATCAGGCGCAGAGTGGTAAGATGTAAGTATTTCTCTCAAGTAGGAATAAGTAATTAGGTCCCTTTTGGAAGGCTGGTCTCTAACTGATGCCTCTTTTGACGGATGTCACAAAGAGCGCGAGCCAAGGTGCCAGCCTCGCATCGATTATTTGAGATTCAATGAGGCTCGCGGCTCAGACTCTCCCGTGTTAGGCATCCGGAGAGGGATCTGTTGACTTCGCACAGCTCTAGAGGTGCAGTGCCGATAGCCACTTAAAGCACAAGCCCATGCTGTGCCGGATGACTCAATGACTGGGTTTCTGATACCAGCGGGGACTGATTGCGTGGCAGGATTCCTTACTTTAACTACATGACAGAGAGCTCAAATTTTTCAGAAACAGTACAGAAACCCTCATGAGAAGCCCAAGCAACCTTCCGGGTCAGGTCGGCCGCAGGCTTTTGGCAGGTGTTGAATAAGGTGTTGAACTTACCTTTGGTTAGTAGGGAATGGAGGAATGGGGTACAACTACAACTACTATGACTACCATTCTTCTATTCCCTACTAACCAAAGGTAAGTGAAGCCATGTTGCCCACGAGTGCTGCGAAGCGTGGTAACAGCGGTGAGGATGATGGCTGCCTTTCGCGCTTGGGCACGTTGATTTGCCGTTGGCATCACTGCCATGATCCGAAGGATCACAAGCAGGAAAGAATCATGGAAACTGCGTCTGGATTTCGATGTGAACTCACTGTGCAGGGCTTTGCAAAAGACAGCGATGCTTTCGTGGGCTTTGGAAGAAGCAAAATTGAAGCGAGGCGAAGTGCAACTCGTCTTTTCGACCATCCAGATGTGCAGCGGTGCTGGAGTGAGCTGGACATGTCGAGCGGGCACGAGAAGGAGCTCAAGAAACAGAGGTGTGGGTGATCAATGGTGATCACCTCCAATCTTCTCGTGGTTCTGCCGTGGTTCTGCCTTTCTGCCTTAAAGCTTGATGGGGTTTGCAAGCTGTTGAAGGCTGTTTGGTGCAGGGAATGTTTCAGCTTAGTGTGCTGCGTGATCTATGCTCATCGCCGTAGCGACATACCGCGAATTTGCGCTTTGGAGAAAAAGCGTTTCTGGTTGGCATGCGTGTGCCAGGCCACTAAAAATTGCGAAAATGCAAGAACAGCCTCTCTTTCAGCTTGTCAGGAGTGGCAAAACATGCATCGAGGCCTTGGGTCAGTTTTCATTCTCTCGCAAGGGGGAGTGGGCGCTGCCTTAATTCGGCCATGCGCCGGAGATGCCTAGCAGGTCCCGAGGACTCCATACTATACTGGAGTACTGGAGTGTAGTACGCTATAGATTGTTTGCTGGCAGCTGAGTGAGTCATGTCGGCCATTTCCTAACTCCAAACCAACTAGCCACCATAGTTCGCCTAGGTCCTAGGCCACTGCCCTTTCCTGTTGGCAGGCGCTGGCCGAAGAGGATGCTGCTTCTGAGGCCTCTGTACGTAGGTTCTGTCAAAGCATCCAGAATGTCCATGGGTTTAGGTTGGGTACGACCCCCACTCAGTAACAGTTGGATCATATTCATAATGTCGATACATCAGGCCCTCAGTAGTAGCCCTCTTGTAGACTGCTACTACTGTATGGGGTTTCGGCGTTTTCGGGGGGTCGGATCACGGACTCGGTTCCCTGCAAGCCGTCGGTCGACTCGGATTTTCCCAAAAAAGTGCGACCCGCATTTTCGGAAGCCCCTACCCACAGAACTGTAAACCTACTATCGCAGGTGCAGACTCTCGAGAAGCACCGTGAAGGCATGCATGGCGGCCCGAAGCAGGCGCCGAGAACCGGCCCTGAGCCTCGAACCGCATACCCTACTTGAAGGATCATGGGACTTAGTAACTAGGGTTATAATTACGGTAACCATGCTTATGATTACTTATAACCCTAGTAAAGGTACTTATACCCTAACTTACTAAGTCTCCTGATCCTTCAAGTAACAGGACCATAATTTCGACAGCTACCCTGACGCGTGACGCCAGTCCGCATGCGCTTGCTCTGGTCAGGTCCATGCAGGCCTCGAGGAATGGCAGCGCGCTCCCTCGGCGGTTCTCCAGATACTCCGGAATCTGGGATTCCCGGAGTCCGAGGCTTCGAAAAACGATGAGATGCAAGAAGCGAGATCTGTCTCTCGCTTTCCTCTCTGCTTGCACTGCGTGGAGGCTTCGGACTCCTGCCTTGCAGCCTCCGCGCCGAAGCAGCTCTCGGGGAAATGGAGGATGGAGGCCGCCGGATGACTTTTCAGGCTTTATCTTGTGCTTCGGACGCCTGGACTAGGATGCTAGGAAGCTCGCGTTTTGAAGGTTTAGGGAGTTGGTCTGCTGGAGCCGAGGGTTGGGAGATGAGGAGCTCCGTTCTTCCATCTTTGCCCTGTGCAGGTGGAGTTGGCCAAGGCGAGACACGAGTTCGCAGAATGCGCAGCAGCAGCCAGCGCATCCGTGATTTACGGTAGAAAGCTGCTTTTTGCAGGCACCCTGGCTTCGACCGAAGCTGTTCCTCTTGCACGAGCCCACCAATCACCTGGACTCCTGCAGTTACGAATGTCAGTTCCTTTTGGCTAGTGTCCCGCTTGGTAGAGCTTCCAGGATTTTCGGGCTGCTCGCGAGTGGCTCATTGAGCAGATCGCCGAGTATCCGCACACAGCGGTGGCTCCCTGGCTCGGATTGTGCTCAAAGCCTTGAAAGCAGAGCTGCTCTCCCTTGACAGTTGAAAGGTCGTCTCGCATGACGTGGCCTCTCTTCACCAGGTTTGCAAGGCCGGCGGGCCCAAACCCCTGCTGCGGAGTTTGAAGTTACGGGAGCTGCCAGGACATCAGTTGGATGGCGGCGCAGAGGCAGGGAGAGGGGAGAGGGGAGAGCAAGCCGCAAGACTGACGTGCCCAAGCTCGGACCCGAGGCTGGAGACGTTGCCTGGAAAGATCTGCTGGTCGCAAGAAGATCTGCTCCGAATGCAGCGCCGGAAGCCTCTCCGAGAGGCGCACAGATGGGCATTGACTGCGACCGCCCAAACATGGAAGCACTTCAACAGATCGAAGCCCCAGCTTCCCAAGCCTGAACGTCTCAAAGAGAGAAGCCTCCCTCTACGAGCCTCAAGGCTATAGTCCCCGAAGATACGCCTTCTTAAGTCTGTGCCAGGACCCGGTCTCTCGAGGAAAGTCGCTGCACGATGACGAGTTCACTTACGGCAGCCTGGCTGCAGTTTGCCTCTCATCTCGTAGCAAGGATCCGCAAGCCTGGACCCCAAGCATATTCACAAGCTCTCACCGAAACGAGCTTCGCGAGCTCCGGGATCCATCCCACAGCCGACAGAGGATGTCGTGGCACATGTCTTGACTTCTGTGCGTACTTACGTGTGCATGCAGAAGTGGATGTAAGCACTCGTATGTACATGTCATGTCCATGTATGTGCGTGTATGCGTGCAGGTATGCAGGTATGTATGCATGCATGGGTGCACGTGTGCGGGCGTATGCACACGCGTATGTAGGCATGCATGGGTTAACGTATGGAACACGTGCATACCGATGACAGGCACCGAAAGCAGCGCAACGGCGGAATTGGGCAGTGAAGGCACATTCGCGAGCTCTCGGGGTTGCACCTGACCATGCACTTCCACCACTTCCACTGCATCCGTACCAGTTGAACCACTAATCGAACCATCTAGTAGCTGGTTCCCTCCGAAGTTTCCCTCAGGATAGCTAGAGCCCTTGAACGAGTCTCCTTGGGTTCCTGGGGTTCGTGGAAGCTGCAGCTCCTTCGTCAGACTCCCCAAGCGCCCAAGCAGTTCCCGGTTCTCGAAGGCCAAGAGACCACTGAAGCCTAGGCATCGAGCCAAGCCTTGAGGCGTTACTATAATATGTTCTATTATGTTATACTATATTATATTTTACTATATTATATGATGTTATACTATATCTATTTTCTTATAATAAACTGTAGGTGTTGGGATGTTGACCTGGTGCCTGTTTCGCATGTTCCGAGGGTCAGCCCGTCTTCGTCGGGACGCCGCAAAAATCAGTCTGAACTTGTGAGGGAAAAGTCTGCTTCAGAGGTGTCGGAGGGGCTTGTTTGATGCTGATTGTTTGAGGAGACGGTGCTGCAGTCTCTGTGGAGTCACTGCGCCTCCGTGGCTGTGGCCGAGCGGTGCTGCTGGGCCGGAACAGCTGCTCAGCTGGGATTGAAAGCCGCAAAGTATATAGCCAAGTCCGAAGCCACCGCAGTATCCATAGATGGCGGATTGCAAGCCGTGTGCCTTCAGAGGGATCTGTCTAGGTCTGAAGGGATGAGCGGCTGGAGTTGCTCTCTCCGGGCACTTACTTTAACCTGTAAAGTTCCTCGGTGATCGACAAGAGAAGCAGTAGATTGGCAGGGCCTCTGGCAAGTGAAATGCGTGTTTTCGATTCGGCCCACACATGCACCTCATGAGGTGGCGGGAAGCCAAGCTTCCTGAAGCGTGGTGCCGGGCGCCTGGAGCCAGGCCGGAGCCCGGTCGTAGGTGCACTGCCGTCACCCTGTGTTGCGGGTGCCGTCAGGCCGGGGAAGCGACGACGGCGTCTCCCAGGTCACCGAGGCGCAGGCTCGCAGTTCGGTCACAGGTGAGGACTCAGGGAAGCCGGGCTGGATGTTGGGGACGGAGGGGTTGCTATCCTTCGGTGTTGGTTGACGCGACGATTTGGGGGCTTCCCCTGGATGCGGGCAATTGAAAGGAAGGCGCGACATTTCTGGCTTTGGGTCCCCAGAGTGGTTTGACCCAAACCCACAACCCTAAGTTGGAAGCAGCCAAACCCAAACATGTGGGTAGTTTTGGAAACTGGGGTCCCTTTTTGGGTACCCTAAAATATAAGGGTACCTTTTGACAACCACCCATGTTGCGCATCTGCAAAGGCACTCTTGAGGAGGCGGTGGCGGCCGGCTGCCATCCTGACCGCCCGACTCCTCAGTGTGGGTTTTCAGTTCTTCTGGACCCCATAAGAAATCCAAAAAAGGCCCTCCCAAGAAGTTCCTGATCCCCCATGAGGGCTGTGAAGCCTCGGGCTCGAGCGAGGCAGTTCCCAAGTCTCAAAAAGCAACACAGCGCAACGCACTCTTCGGAACCCACACGTGTTGTCAAAGCTTGCTGGGCCAAAGAGCTTGGGAACCATATGTGGTTTTCGTGTGAACACGTGTTTCGCCTAAGCAAAACCTTGTTAAAAACCTAAGCCTACGCGAATTTGCGGACACGACATTCTGAAAGTGTTTCTTCGCGGGACGCGTTTTGCTTGGGAAATGCCGAAATTTAAGCTGGTGTCCTACATTCGCGTCGTTTTCAGGGAGGCGCGGCTCTGGGTGCAGGCGCTTTTTTGTGGTTCTGGCTGGCGCGACCTTTTCGGGTTCTCGGATGTCGCTACTTATTGAGCTTCAACGGAGTGGGTTTCAGGTTCCGGGTCTTAGGGGTGTGGGGCTTGTACCGTTTGGGTGGAAGGTTTTAGCCCGGGACCCTCAACCCTAAAACGGATACTCGGAAACCCTCGCGGCCCTTCGGAGGGGCCCGATGTGGCAAAAATTTAAGGCTTTAAGCTACTTTCACTCCTTCAACCCGTCGAAGCATCAGGCTCTTTTGAAGCTCCGCCCCCGCCCCACATGTTTCAGCCGAGGACAGCGCGTCGGTCAGGCAGGCGCGGCCGTACAAGGCAACCCTGCCCTGGCATGCTTTCGTTGCCTGCTTTATGGGAGTTTCCGAAAATAGGGGGCCCTAATCTAGTACCCTAAATAGTAGGATCCTTATTAGAGGGTCCACAAAATAAGGTACCCCTAATTTTCGGAAACTCCTTTATCGTGTTCACGGCTCTTTGGTTACGGGTACTACTACCTTGATCTCAGCATCTTACAGGTCCCAAGTCTTGCTCCCTCATGTCCCAAGGTCTGTACATAAACTTCCGGCATCTTGGGGCAGGAACAATTGCAGCGTGCCCCTTGTCCAGAAAGAGGGTGCTCTACATCGCAACGCCTTGTGCTAGCCACCACTTGAAGGATCAGGGGACTTAGTAGGTTAGGTTATAAGTACCCTGATTGAGGTTATAAGTAATCATAAGTATGGTTACCTTAATTATAACCCTAACTTACAAGTCTCATGACCCTTCAAGCAGCATTCCCTGAAACCAGTGGATCTCGCTGACGCCAGGCGCTGCTCTCCAAGCCGTTGTGCTATACAGTCGAGCCACAAGCTCGGGTGTCGTCTTCTTTCGCTGCAGGTAAAGTCAACATGTGCCTACTGGCCGTCTTTGGGGCGCAAAGCGGCAGTAGCAGCGTCTTGTTCGATTGTCAGAGTTGCCAATCCAAAACCTGAGTAGTGCCATCAGTTGTAAACTTAGCTGCCATTCATCTTCACTTTTTCAGTTTCTGTTGTAGTCTTGACAGCCAAAAAAACGGGTCCCTTATTGAGGTTCCTCAGGGTCTTAGTCCAAGCAGGCAGACCCCAACTTCGCAGAGCATTTTTTGGGCTTGCAGTTCTTTGCATGACTTCATCATGCTTGCTGAGTTCGGTTCGACAGTTTCTTTGGGATCAAGGAGTGAATGGCCCTTAGGCCTGTACAAGCCTCCCTCCTGGGTGGCTCCGTTGCATCCCTTCTTTTCAGGGCGGCCGAGGACTTCATCCCTTCTGTCTTCGAACCTCCAGGTTCCGTGCCATTCGTGTGCCCGGCCTTGGATTTGCCGGAGGGCTTGCATTGGCCTTCTCTTTGCATCGGGGTCCTAGTGGGGTTGGCTGCGGGGCCTTTGATAGATTTGGTTTATCTTCTTAGGGTCTGGTGGAGTGCCGTTGTGCGAGAGCGGATCGCTGCGCTGCGGCCCAGGGCCGGACCTTTGTACCGGGTTCTGTGACTGCATGAGTGCACCAGAGCCTGCCTTGCTCCAGCTTGTCGTCACTGTTCGGGACTTGGCAACCGAGGTCAGGAGGCTCAGCTCCGAGCTTCGAGCTTTGCAGGTGTTGGTTTCTGAGAGATTGGGGCCTGTAAGCCCAAGGCACCGCCAGCCGCGCATCCCCGAGGGAAGCCCTCACCCGTGGAATCCCACAGAGGTCCGAGAGGGGCCCCTTGCATCTCCCGGCCCTGCACAGGCTTCGCCTTCCGCTACTGCGGCTTCTGCTCCTTACGTTGATCCCGGACCTTCGGGACGAGGCCTCACCGAGGAGGAGCGGAGGGACATTGCTAAGAGAGTGGGGCAGTGGTTCTGTCGGTGCCTTGCCGGGCAGCATCGTGGGCTTAGCGGTCGTGAGGAAAATCCTTTGGCAAACAGGGTGTACCTTGTGCTTCGGGATCACAGCGGGAGACGTTACGATCCTCCCTTGCTTGCCCGCTCCTTCGAGAGCATCAAGAAGCTGGTGAAGCCAGCCGGCTTCGTTGCAGAGCAGGCCGTGTTTGCTGGGTTCCCTTCGCAGTGGGAGGCAGCCCTTGCAGCTTCGAGTGCCGGGTTTCAGCCTCCGCTAGAGAGAAATGTCTGAAGCTAGCTCCGAGGAAGAGGAAAGCCCCGAAGTTCGTCCCCGAGAGCTTCGGTTTGCTTACGTTGGCGGGGAAGCCAATTTTGAGTATGAGGTTGGTGCTTTAGCCGTTGGAGACGGCGATTCTCGTCGCACCATAGCAGTTATCCTTGTGGTCCCCTTTGAAGGCAGGACCCTTGCAGTTTTTCCTCAGAAAGCTTGGGATAAGAAAGTCAGCAAGCGTAAGCTGCCTTCTGGACCCTTCAGCAAACCCATGCTTGTGGAAGTAGTTTGTGCATCCCCGACGGACCGCTCTGTCGTGGGAACCGAGCCTGCCATCAAAGTTTGGATAGGGTTGTTAGCCGCGAGCCTGGCCGACCAGGTTACCTTTGAGTCCGGCGAGCTCCCCGACATCTCTTTTGCCACTTCGTCGAAGGCGGGGCTCCCTTTTGCTGAAGCCCTGGTCGACTTAGCTGAGACCCATTTTGGGTTCCATAGTGCCCTTAGCGCCGCCGCCGGGGGAGACGTGTACGAGCAGAGGTTCCGTGCCCTTGAAGCCAGCATAGCTCGCATCGCCGAAAGTGTTGGAAAGCTTGCTGGCTCTCCTGAGCCGGGCGCGGCTGCCCCTGACCCTGCAGTTTTAAAGGCTGCGAGCAAGAAGAAGCCTGGTGCGAAACGTGCCGCTGTGCCTCCGCAAGATGATGCGAGGCGGGCGCGGGGCTCTCGATGACTATCCAGGTGTAGGCGACGGGGATCACGCTGAGGGCGTTGGGAGCCTTCCACCCCTCAGCGGAGGCGAGGACGATTTGCCAGACGAAGCCTCCGGTGCACCGGCCATGGAGCGTGCAGTCCTGGCCCTTACGAATATCATGAAGCAGATTGTGGATAAAAAGAAGACCGGACAGCCAGCTTCCACGCTCGATGCCGCCTTGGACCAAGCTGAGAACAGCGCAGGGTCGGATCTCTTTGGCTTGGGCTCTGGGACTGGAGGCCGCTCCAAAGCTGCTGCGTATCGTTTGCTTCGGGAGAGTTTGGAACGCTCCCCAGAGTTGATTTATCAAGAGATTGAGCGGCTCATGGACGAGGACCTCCTCTCCAGAAGGGCTGTGGGATCGTTGTCATCCGCTCAGAGCTCAGCCCGAGCTTGGATCGAATTTCGGTCCAGAGTCGGATTCTTCCCGACGACGATCCGAGTGCTGTGGTGCTTGGGAGGAATCTTAGATTGCCTCCGGGATGATCGAGTTGCCGAGGCGCGGGCACGCACGTGCTTAGCGATCGCGGCGGTGGACCAGCAGTGCATCGATGCTGGGGGATGGGTATATGCCCAAGAAATCCTTTTTGAGAGTCCGCCGCCCTTGGGGTCGTTCCAAGGACGAAAAGTCTTGTTGGACCCTTTGGAGTCCTACCACACCCGCCTCCTCAGCAGCCGGTGGTCTGACGTCCTGCTCCACAGAGTCAAGGAGATGGAGACTTTCCTGGAGGCCAAACGCAAGCTTGGTCGTGGTCGTGGTTCCGAAGCTTCTGTTCCCAAAGGTGGTGAGGAGGAGGTCCTTCCTCCCGGTGGTCGTGGAGGCCGTCGGGTTCCAAAGAATGGTGCTCCTGGAAGTGGTGACAAGCCAGGCCCCTCCGGGGGCCAGGGGCAATGAGGTGGTGTTTTTTCCCCGCCTGGCTCTGTGCCGGGCTTTGGGCCATGCCTCTTCCGGAAGCGGCTTGTTCCGTCTTTGTTGCAAGCGACCTCTGGAATTCACTGTCGGAGCTCCTGGAAACAGATCAGGCGCTCTCGGCCCATTTTGCCTCTGGCTGCTCTGGCCCTTCCTTTGTGAATCGGGCTTTCTTTCGTTCTTCTTTGGCGGAGGTAGGCTCCAGGTGTGCCGACGTTGCCCGCTGCAATGCCAAGGCCCTTCATGTTACGGCCACCGTGTTGGACAGCCTCCTTGCCTCGCCTTTTCACCGCGTTTGTCGAGGTGCCGTCACCTCTCCCTTCGCGGGCAGCCCTGCAAATGTTGATGCTCAGGTTGTTCGCCGATGCTGGCGACGTTTGAGCGATCGTCTTCGAGAGTGGGACCTCTTCCCGCCTGTTACCCGCCAGGACTTAGGCCGCGCTGCTGGCAAGGTTGAGAAAATCGAGGAGCAGATAGGGATTCTTCAGGAGGACCGTGGCGCTGCCGGCCCCGGCCTCCCTAACCTGGCTTTGGCCCAGGACGTCGTTGCTTCGAGGATCTCCTTCACTGGCGTACCAGAGTTCGACCCTTGTCCGTACTTGGACGACCAGTTGCGAGACCTTTATGTGCGACCGAAGGACTTCTCTTGCAGCTTCGCCGATCTGCCTGACGCCCCCCCTAAGGTAAGGTTTAGGTCCCCGGGTTATAAAGGTAAGCTTGACCTTCTCGCCCTCTTGGATTCTGGTGAGCGCTTGGCCCTGCGGCCAGCTTCGCAGAACACCGCCCAAGGATGCTGCGGAGTCTTCTCAGTTCCCAAAAGTGCGAGCCGGGACCGCCTCATAATCGATGCGAGACCAGGCAATGCGGTCCAGACTGGCGACAACCGGTGGCTTGTTTTGATGCCGACTTCCGCTGCGCTGCTCGGCATCGAGCTTGAGGAAGCCGAGGTCGCCACGTTCTCTGGGGCTGACATAAAGGAGTTTTATCATAACTTCCTTGTGTCTGAGCAACGAGCTTCTCTTTACACCTTTCAAGGCACCTTTGCTCCTGCCGACTTGGCTTGCCTCCGCAGCTTTGAGGCGAAGCTTCTGAAGTGCAGTCGAGTCGCCGCTTCTCTCCGGACTATGGCGATGGGAGACATCAACTCTGTTTCCTTCGGGCAAGCTTCGCACATTGGGCTAATGTTGGCTTTCGGGGTCATAGGTCCAGAGAAGCTGCTCACTTTGCGCGGCCGGTTTCCTCGCGGCGACCTAGCCTTAGGCATAGTCATCGACGACCTCGTCTGCATCGAGAAGTCTTTGCGTAGCCTCGGGCCCAGGAAAGCCAAGGGAGTCATGGAGAAGGTGCACCTTGCTTACAAGCAGGCTCCTCTCCCTGTGCATCAAGGGAAGTGCTTCAACGATCTGCACCGTGCCAGCTTTTGGGGCTCCGAAGTCGACGGGCTTTGTGGGTGGGTCCGGCCTTCTTGGTCCCGTGTCATCCCCCTCGTATCCCTCACCATCGCGTGCATAAAGCTGCCGGTCCTTAGCGTGAGTCTTTTAGAGGTTTTAGCGGGTTCCTGGATAGCTGTTGTGTCATACCGACGCAGGCTCATGAGCCTCCTTAACCACATCTACTTGATTCAGCGGGGCAGAAGCAGAAAGGATGTTGTGAGGAGCACGCCGGGGCTTCGGGCCGAACTCTTTGCTTTGTGTGCCCTTGCTCCTTTCGTTGTGTGCGACATGCGAGCCTGCTCTTCAGGGCTTCTGGTCTGCACCGACGCCTCAGACCTCGTTGGGGCTGGCGCAGTTGCTGAGGTTGGTCGCGTTTGGGGCAAGGAATTGCACCGCCACGCCCTTTGCAAAGGTCTTTGGAACCGACTCTTACGCCCCAGCGAGTGCCTTCTCCGGCGCGCCGGTGCCTTGGAGGCAGAATCCGAATTGCCCGGAGAGTCCTTTCGGACACACGCGCTCTGGAGCTCCCTCTGCCGGTTTCTTAGTTTCAGGGTCTTAGGATTCTTCAAGAGACGTGGCACCTCGCACATAAACCTCAAAGAGGCCGAGAGCTACTTGGCCGTTGAAGAGCATTTGGCCGCAGGGGTTTGGGAAAGCTCCAGGACCTTGGCCCTGTTGGATTCGCAGGTGGTTTTAGGCTCACTGCTGAAGGGACGATCGAGCTCGCCGTTGCTCAACGTGCTTTTGCAGGGCTCTGTGCCCGCCTTCATCTTTTTCAATGTTCATCCCTCCTACAGCTTCGTAGCTTCGGAGGACAATCCCTCGGACGACCCGAGCCGACTCAGGCCTATTCGTTCGCCGACTGCACCCGTGCCTTCTTGGTTTGAGGCAGGGTCTTTGGGAAGGTTTGAAGGGTTAGATCGTTTTCTGGCAGCCTACGGCCTTCTGCCCGAGCAGCTTCAAGGGTTACCTGAACTCCTCGCTTCTTTTGCAGCTCGCAGCCGAGATCCTTTGCCTACTAGAGCCTCTCGTCGAGAACACTCCGGGGGCCAAAGCGAAGACCAATCGCAGGGGGGCTCTGCTGTTTCGGGTTGCAGTAAGGATGAGAGTGTTGCTCCTGCCTTTGGCGGCTGTGGGCCCGAGCACGCTGGAAGGATGTGGCGGCCTGGACGTCGGCCTACGCCCCGGATCACCCGTGGGACCACGCTGTCCCGGGCCAGGCCAGCCTTGACACCGCGCTGGCGCGGCTCGTCCGCTCTGAGCACTGCAAGCTCGAAAAGACTCACATTGTGAGCCTTTTCCTGGACTTGCGTGGCTTCTTCGACTCGGTGAGCTACGAGCACCTTCTCCTCCAAGGCCTCGCTCACCGTTTCCCTCCACTCCACCTTTGGTTCGCCCTCCAGGTTTACCAGGGACCTCGCTGTCTCGTTGCCGATACGATCGCAGCCACCCCCATTTTTCCTGGCAGGGGCGTCCCTCAGGGATGCCCGCTCGCTCCCTCTCTGACCAAACTCACTATGTCAGAACCCCTCAAGAAGGTCTCTAGCCTTCGAAGCCCGACTCAGAGTGTTTGGCTGTGCCTTTAAAGCGATTCTTCAAGCAGTGCCGGGCCTCGCAATTTGTCTGGCCGGGATCCCTCAGGCCTCCTGCGCATGATCGACCAAGCCGCTCTGTGTACTTGAGCCTCTTCGCAAACAAGTGTCGAGTTGCCCGGGCCTTTGTTCAGGTCCAGAACATCCCTGCTCTTAGTTTCGATTGGAGTTACAGCGAAAGCCAGGACTTAAGCTGCCCGGAGCTTCAGAAACAGTTGTTTGCAGCGGCCAGGTTGGGCGCATTTGTTTGCGTTGGCATGACACCGCCTGGAAGCACTTTTTCGCAGGCCGCCAGGCCATGTTACCGGAGCCGGGAGTTTCCCGCCGGTTTGCCAAACTTAAGCCCCCACAGCGCAGCTAAGGTTGCCTCCGAAAACCAGACTCTCGACTTCACCTGCACTTTTGCCTCCTTCCTCGCTGATCTTCGTATCCCCTTCTGGATTTCCGGGCCTGCCTCTTCGCACATGTGGATTTATCCTTCCGTCCTCGAGGTCGTCGGTCGTTTCCAGCCGCCCTACTTTTGGACTTTCGACCGCTGCCGTTTTTCTGAGCCATGGCAAAAGCGCACTCGCGTTCTTCTGACCGCTGGGCTGGCAGGTGTGGAAACGTACTGCCTTGGAGGCCACTCTCACCAACGCCTCCGAGGACGTGGTGGAGCTTCTGGTCCGGACTGGACAAAAGCTGCTGGAGAGTGGCCGCGCGGAGCCGCCTTGGAACTGGCCCGGAGCCTGGCTGCACAGTGTGGGTCTAGTTCCGAGTCAGCTGATACTTCGGCTTTCGTTGGACATCTGCGGATAGGCGAGGCGAAGAATCCAGGACCGCCAAAGCGTGTGCCGCGGCGCGGTTCTCTGTTCGACGTTGAGCTGGTGGAGGCCGCAACGTTGCGAGTACGAGCTGAGATCTGGTCAGTTTTTGTGGCTTGGCTTCGGGAGGGGCTATCGGAGGGTGCCGTTCTCGGCATCTTCCGATGCCCCCCCTTGCTGGCTCTTATGCTCAGAGACTACGGAGACGTGTTGTACCAGACTGGTTTCCCGCTCGGTTCCTACAGACAGCTGCTGGCTCATGGCCAAAAACTACTGCCGCTTCTCAAGCCACACATGAGTGTGGCGTGGAACATGGTCAGTCGCTGGGAGGAGCTGCAACCCGTCTGCCACCGCACACCTCTGCCAGAAGCTGTCATGCGAGCCATGGTTGGAATGGCCTACAGACTTGGGCAGCTACCACACTGGCCATGTTTTACTTTATCTGCAGGCCGGGGGAAGTCCTTCGGGGACTTCGACGCGACCTCCTCACTCCTGACGACATCTTGGAGGCTGATCACAGCTGGCTTTATCTTCGGATTCGAGGCCCGAAGACGAAGAGGCGAGGAGCAAAAATTCAGCACGTGAAACTGGACGACTACATTGCCATGGAGATTGCCCTGCTTGCTTGGGAGGGTCTGCCTAAGGGGCGACCTCTCTACCCTGGGAGCCCTTCTGCTTACCGCAGGCGATGGGACGTTCTTCTTCGGGCTCTGGCCATTCCGGCTGCGGCTGGGCTTACGCCAGCGTCGGTTCGCGCCGGTGGTGCTATTACGGCTTTTCAGAGAGGCCTCGCTGTTCCAGATCTTATGTGGAGGATGCGCTTGAAGTCTCAGGTGACACTTGAACATTACCTGCAGGAGATGGCTGGCTTTTCCGTGCTCCCCTCTTTGTCCAACGAGGCTCGCAGAAAAGTGAAAGTCGCCGGCTGCTTGTTCAAGGCCGTCGAGGAGAGGGCCATTCACTTACGAGCGGCGCGCCTTGCGGCCTCAAGTGGTGTGGAGGTTGCCGCTGAGCTCTGAAACTCTTGAGCATCAGCAGGCCGATTTAATCTCCAACCTAAGACTTGCAGCCAGAGGCAAAAGAGAAGGCAGAACGACGGCAGAGCATGACTTCATCATGCTTGCTGAGTTCGGTTCGACAGTTTCTTTGGGACCCTCCCTCCCACCCTGGAGGAGGTTGCCGCTGAGCTCTGAAACTCTTGAGCATCAGCAGGCCGATTTAATCTCCAACCTAAGACTTGCAGCCAGAGGCAAAAGAGAAGGCATAACGACGGCAGAGCATGTTGTTTCAAAGGGTAAAAGGAGGAACCCTTAGTAAGGAGCCCTAGGTATAGAACCTTAACATAGCGATTATATACCCATTATGCGGTCCATGAGGTAGCTCCTTTTGCCTTTGGCTTTTTCTTTGGGTGCACCTGAGATCGGTCTGGCGGCGGTGGTTCAGAAAGCTGAGGAGGGCCGCGGACTGAGGGCTGCGTCAAGGTGAAGGGGTTTAGGGTTTGGGGTTTGGGGTTCAGGGTTTGGGGACGGTCGCGACGAAGGAAATCATGGCTGGGATTGGGGCTTTGTTGTTGATGGAGGGCTTTATGAACAGAAAACGGTGTGTCATCTGGAACTGAACAGTTCATGCGGTAGCATACACTGCGCTACATGCACACAACCTCCAAGCTCAAGCCCAAATCCGAATCCATAAACCTCATCCCCACAAGTGCAATTCACTCTCCTGTCATTCCTTGTGCCTTCTGCAGGATATCCCGTCATGCTACTCGTCATGTTTAGCAATCCAGCCTGCAATCATTCTCCTACTACACACTTAGTTAGATCAAAACGACCAGCAAATCAAAACATACTGCACGTTGACATGCATTCAGCCCGCGCGGGCCCCAAATCGAGCATTAGAGCAAGCAAGAAAAGACACAAACTCCCAAATACACGCACCCAAGCCAATCATCAAACGCAGCACCAGGAAACCACAACACACAAGCACAGATTCTGGACAAAGGGGCCTGTGCTTTGTGACCATTCACAACTCAATATTGTCTCCCTTGTGTGGAGCATATGAGCATCGGACAAAACCTCCGTAAAGGCTAACATAACTAGAGCGCAACCGAGATGGTGAACAACTAGGGTCTAGTAGGAAAACCGATAGGGGCCGACCCATGTTTGAGCAACGTCAAGATGTAGTTGATCCCTGCATAATTGATAGGGGCCGACCTGAGATCTCGGCATGAGCAGGTCGAACAATAGCTTTAGGCCGCCGCTCATATGTGGGCGTTCGGATACGTGAGATGGTTCCGAAAAAAGGCCACAGGCGCCGATACGCGCCAAAAGAATCCCTCATGTATCCTTAGTTTCAGAGACTGCACCAAAGCTGTGGCCTCTGAAGCCCCTTGAGCCTTAACCTAGATCCGAATCCTTGCCTAAACTGATGGGGGCCCCAGCCCCCAACCAGGCCAAAGAGGTCGCACCGGTGGAGCGGGCCTGGTGCTCGGATTAGGGTTTCGAGATATCATGTTTACAGGCTTTAGGTGGTCCTTGCTTAAGAATTGTTCAAGGGATCTTGGGTTCCCCCAGTCTTTAAGACGAAAGCGCTGGAAGCAACCCAGCCGCAGCTCTAGGACATTAGGAGGATGCCAGGAAACCGTCGGGTTTTCAGGGATTTGGGTTTAGGGCTACTTGGAGGATCAGGGGACTTAGCAAGTTAGGTTATAAGTACCTTAATCGGGGTTATAAGTAGTTATAAGTATAGCTACCTTAATTACAACCCTAGTTACTAAGTCCCATGATCCTTCAAGTAGCGATTGGGGATCAGGGCTGAGGGTTTAGGGATTTGGGTTTAAGGCTCGGTTGGACATGATGGCCAGTAGATGAAGCATACTTCTCCTTGGTGACGGTGTACTATAGGGAGCCCCCAAGACTGAGAATGGGGTCTGGGGGTTTGGGGTCCAGTCTTCACTTAAATGCTACATCATAAGGGCTCTAGTGCGAAACGTGATTACTGACCATGTATTGAGATCGCTATGCTCGAACTTGGGGCTAGTTTTTTAAGTTTCCGGTGAGTCTATCCGCCTTGGTCGTTACGTTTCGACCGCCCCTGAAGTGCTTGACACCTTTGTGCTGTTGGAGCAGCTGAAGCTGAAGCTGAATTTCATGCCGAGTGAGTGTAACAACGTAGCTGTCAAGCACCTCACTCATGAAGCTCGGGTTGGCTCCTGCCCCTAACCCTTTCAACTTCCAGTTCGATTTTCAACACAAGTCCTTGCTCTTGAGGCCGCAGCGGAAGGAACCATGGTGGCGGAGATTCCCCCAGCAACAGAGGAAGAGGTGGCCTCACGCGAGTTTCTCGTGAAAGCTTGGCATTTACTTGATCCGACAATGGTATAGATCACCACATGCCGAGGTCGTTCCCATGTCAGCAGGGCTTCCCCCTTTCGGCTTGATACAGGCAGGACTGATTTTTTTTGATGCGTTCGTTGAAGCATTGACCTGGTCATATTGAAGGCTCCGACGCTGCCGGCGGCTGCTGCGGCAGCCGGCCCTTGCTTCATCGGCGGAGTGCCGCAGGCAAGATTCGAAAACTGCTGCCATCAGATAGATAAATTAATGTGAAGGTGTCCAGACCAATGCCGACGATGATGCCTGGATTCGGCTTCCTTCCTCCCTCCATGGGCCCAGAGGCAGGAGCTTTCAGTGAACGTGATTGTCATCTCTCATCAAAAGTGGGCGCTTGCAGGCGCTTCGCTCGAGACCACCAATGCCGCAGGAACCCCCCCCACCGCCGCCACCCGTGGAAACCTCAGAAACACTATGCAGCATCGCTGAAGCATGAACAAAGCTTGGCTTTGTGAGGCCACGGGCCAGCTTCGGACTACTTTGGATGCTGGCCCCCCAGTCCCAATGTTTAATCCGGCTTCCCTAGCATGGTTCACTTAGGATGCTGTTGACCGTCGACGACCAGTAACCCCGCCCAAGAAGGCACGTGACCTTTGGCCTTTCAAGCTCGAAGAGACGCCACCCTGGCCAGGCTGAGAGCAAACTCGTTCCCAAGTGGTCGAAGGCCACAGACTGAGCAGCAAATCTGTTTCCAGGAGGGTTGCCTCGTTCGTGCAGGGCAATGCAAAGGGCAGCGCCGAGGAGATGCCGGCCAAACACTCAGGGTGAAGTGTTAATGTTTTGACCAGGATGCTTTGATAGATGGCGGCTTTGAGGCTTTGGAGGTGTGTAGGTGAGGGCTTGCAACTTGCCGGTGGGTCGAGGAGAGAGCACAGGGGCAATCGGTAAGTCTTGAAAGATCTCAGTGGCATCGAAATCTCAGAATGAGGCTGGGCTTGGAGCAGATTGATCTAGCTGCACATCTTCAAACCTCACAGGATCACCGGCTTGTCACGCAGACCCGTTGCAGAGGAACCTGCCATCGCGGCAACCACGTCGGCATCGGACCCTGAGAATGAGGCTGGGCTGGGACCAAATCAATCTAGCTGCGCATCTTCAGATCACATGTCACAGGATCACCGGCTTTTCACACAGACCCGTTGCAGAGGAACCTGCCATCGCCGCGCATCTTCAGATCACATGTCACAGGATCACCGGCTTTTCACACAGACCCATTGCAGAGGAACCTGCCATGGCCGCTACCACGTCGGCATCGGACCCTGAGAATGAGGCTGGGCTTGGACCGAGTCAATCTAGCTGCGCATGTACAGATCATATGTCACAGGATCACCGGCTTTTCACACAGACCCGTTGCAGAGGAACCTGCCATCGCCGCTACCACGGCGGCATCGGACCCTCAGAATGCGGCTGGGCGTGGAGCAGATTGATTTAGCTGAGCCTCTTCAGACCTCACAGAATGAGAAGGTTCACGGTTTACTCGGATTCAGGTGAGAACGGGCAATGGAAGCTGAAATAAAGCGTAAAGCGTACTATCTAGGACAGGGTTTGGGGTTTGTGGTTGGTAGTCACAACCACAAGACTCATGTCGTTCAGGATGAAAGGACTAGTTACAAGGTTTAGGGCTGAGGTTGACCTGCACACTAGCAAGACACATCCGGGTGACCAACGATCGGGTCTTATCCGAATTCCAATGCTCTCTTCGTGTCCGAGTATGCGTCAGCACGTGCAACGGTTTTGTTGACTTTGTGGTGTCCAAGCCACTCTTGATGAGCGTCTGTGTGTGCGTGTGGGCTACCAGTACGTGGTGTATGCTGTTGAGGCAGAGGTGCTTACGTACGAGGCATCTGCAGACCCCAACCATCTGTTAAGTAGGATCCACAATGTGAATACAAATTCAAAGCGAAACCGCCGCACCCTCAAGCTTCAACTGGCACCTCCATGCCCCTGCGAGGACGAGGAAATCGTCTTCGTCCCCAAGAGCTTCTCGGAGGCTTCGGCCTTTTCCTTCAGAGGTCGTTCTTGCGAGGATGGAGCCGACAAGGAAAGTTTGCGTTTAGTGCTTGTCTCAAGGGGGTGCTGGACAGTTTGCTCATCACGCGATTTCCTGCCTCGTGCCTGCCTCGCAGGTGCAGATGCCCTCAAATAGCCTCTCGTGCCTCGGCCATTCTCAGCCTCCGAAGATTCCGGTTGAAAGCTACATGGACCGGAGTCGTCACCCCTCAGGTTCGAACAGATGCCGCCGTCCAATTCGGACGGCCTGCTGGCGAATCGTACTTTCATGCGCGCAGTTGACGCGGCAAGAGCACAGGCGGCTCAACAGAAAGCGGAGGCCGGGGATGCCTTCTGCCTTGGGTCATCTTGATTGTGTGCATGTCGTTGTCACAGGAAGCGGCAACTCGCTTGCCGGGCGGCGTTAAGCGGCAAGCACAGCTCTGTTTGAGCCAACTCTCCATGGAGAAGCTTTACCAGGGTGACTGGCTCGCACTCATAACACCCCCCGACATGAAGCAGTCACAGGCCGCAGCCAAGCACCGCTTTTTCGTTTTGAGGGGAAGCGATGTCGACACGCTCAGGTAAAATTGTCATAGCCTTCAAGTTGGGCGACTCGCCTGCACTTGAACCATCACTCATTCCAAGAACTGTACCTGGACATGCTCTTGTCGACACTTTGAATGGAAAGGGACGACGAAGGGGTTTCTTAAGGTAGTGGAAGTTTCACATCGGCTGCACGTCTATGCTGGTTTTCACCGGCAGCAACCTCCACAAGTAGCTGGTGCACACTTGCCCTGCAATTGCCTGACTCTGCCAAAGGACTCCTTGTAGACATCAACGCGGATGTCTTGGGCTTGCTTCGCTGGAAGCATGTGAAGGGGGTGCCCAGGACAAGCTTGCGGTGCTTCATGGCTTTACTGTATAAATATATACTCGGTTTTGGCTCGGCTTTCGATAGTGCACACTGCTGGTGGATCCGCATCGCGTGGGACTCCAGGAAACTCCTGAAAGAAGGGGGCAACTTGGCCAACCTTCGTGTCGAGAAGGCGCAGTGGCACATGATGTGGGCTCTGGGAGTTCTTTTTCGGAGTTCTTGACCTCGTGCCGACGTGCGGAATGCTTCTGAAACGGAACGAAACTGGGCATTGTACGACTACAGTATATAGTGTCCCTGTCACAGGTGCGAGGAGAAAGATTTACTCTGCGCCTGGAGTGCGCCGAAGTTGCAAGACCTGTCCGGCTCAGGGCTTGTTCAAGGCTTCAGCGGGTTCGTTGGAGCCAGTATCTGCCTTCGATCTCGAGGCATCGGCCTCCCCGGCCAGACCTTCGAAGAGACCGAATACCCGGACATCGTCGCCCGGGTGTACGACTGGGCCATCGCGCCAAAGCTGCTCGATGTCTCAGTTTCCGAAGAAGAGACTACTCCGACAGCTGCACAGAAGCAGCGACTTGGGAGAATGGGCCCGAGAAATGTCGGGGACGGCGAGGGGCTCGCAATCCGCGGGCCCGCGCCCTTTAATGCCCGCCGCTTCCTTCGACCCGGCAAGTGCGGGCCACGCTACTCGGACCAGCCGTGAGGGTCGTGGTAGAAGTTGTTGGGTCCAGTTGCAGCATGTGCACAGAGCCGACAACTGCGTGCCATATGTTGTCGCAGCATAGGCATAGAGCAATCACCAACAAACACCGACCTGATCTGTGGTTTCTTTGGCTGGTGGTGGCACCAACGATCTCACCTCGAGTTGGGGGGGCTTGCTGATCCTGCAAAGCAGGGGCCCTTCTACAGCCCAAGATGCGGAGAAACTCGCTGAAAAGGGAGACGCCTGCAGCGCCATCGCTGTTGGTATCTATTTCTGGCTATGGGTATGCGGTATGCAGCATCGTCGTTATCACGAGGATTGTCATATTGTTGCTGGCGCGACCAGATTTCCGTATGGTAGAATAGATGGCAGCTCCTTTCCCAGGTTGTGCTTGATGGTGTTCGGCCTTGACATTCGAACGTTGCGGTACAGGTACCGTTTGTGTTGAAGGTTCAGAACTTTTGCAAAGCATGTTGATGGACACTTGGTCGACTGACGGAGATGTGGAAGGCGTCGGCATGATTTTGGCTGCTGTTGCTGTCCAGGTGGCCGACGCCATGTCGCGTGCATGTCTCAAGCTCCCAGCTATTAAACTCAAACTGCCGAGGGCGCCCTGATGCAGTCAAAATGTGACAACATGTTGTTCCTGTTAATGTTGATTGATGGCATTGCTGCGCAACGCATGATAAGGGCGTCCACGCAAGCGTTTCGCATTGGGGCAGAGGGCAGTTTTCATGTCCTCCAATGGCTGCATTTCCGCATCGTTGTTCTACATGCGCGAACCATCCTGAACCCACGAGGCCCCCCTTACAGAACGACCAAAAAGCCATGCCCCGGAATGAGTTGTAACGCGCGTCCCCTGAATAAGAAGCTCCCGCCGGGTCTGACTGTAGGCAGCTTTCTGGCCATGCGAACACTTGCACACTTGTGTAACTTCTTACGGAACACAGCGACCGATCGATGCGTGGGCACCTTCGTCAAGAAAAGTTTGGTGAGTTTGGGCTGCCCAAATGTTGCTGTTTTCGGCTAAGCTGTGACCGGGCTTTGTTTGTGCTCGCAATTCCAAAATATTGAGATGTAGGCGAGAAGCATGCAGCAGCTCCAGCACATCTATCTTCGAGGGCAATTCTTTGGCACACGCCAGGGCTGATTTCTGTCTTTGACTGCAGTGGGTTTCTTGAGGGTTCTGGGTGCACCGCAGACAGCCATGCCAGCCATGCCGCGTCTTAAAACGGACGAGGCTCGGTACATAGGGGGCCACGGTGTGTGCTTAGGCACCAGTTTCTGGGTCGCATTGTAGGGTATTGTTTATTGTAGGGTTTTGGATGGGATCGAGGGTGGCGCGAGCAGCTCCTCTGTGATCGCTGCCCGCCTGGTTTCAGCATCGCGCATTCACACCTTGAGGACCGCCATGTCCTGTACATCCTCCGCAATAATGCCGACGTGTCCAAGCCCTTTCTTGAGCTGAGCGTCGGTGACGGGTTCATAGCGGATCCTAGCGCATTCGGGTTTCTCCCAAGGTCGCAGAAGGTGCAGCAGGTCATGCAAGCGGTGTACCTCCTGGACGGCCATGAGGCATGGGGCACACTTCAAGAATCGTAGCCTGGCCAGTGGTGGTAAGTCGGTAGGTGGTGACGGCTCACTGTCCATTTGGCGGAAAGGTGAACATCCATTGGAGGCACTCCCGCGAACCTGGGAAGCCTGGACCGTAGCGGTAAACCACATGAAGACCCCAAACCCGCACAGACCACGTTAAGACTTGTGATTGTCTGAGGCGGGGCTGTCCTGTGGTAGTGGATGGCCAAATGCGGCTCGGCATATCTTGGCACTAGGTTGGCGACGGGCACAGAATCTCAGAAGACATCAGGCGCAGAGTGGTAAGATGTAAGTATTTCTCTCAAGTAGGAATAAAGTAATTAGGTCCCTTTTGGAAGGCTGGTCTCTAACTGATGCCTCTTTTGACGGATGTCACAAAGAGCGCGAGCCAAGGTTCCAGCCTCGCATCGATGATTTGAGATTCAATGAGGCTCGCGGCTCAGACTCTCCCGTGTTAGGCATCCGGAGAGGGATCTGTTGACTTCGCACAGCTCTAGAGGTGCAGTGCCGATAGCCACTTAAAGCACAAGCCCATGCTGTGCCGGATGACTCAATGACTGGGTTTCTGATACCAGCGGGGACTGATTGCGTGGCAGGATTTCTTACTTTAATTACATGACAGAGAGCCCAAATTGTTCAGAAACAGTACAGAAACCCTCTTGAGAAGCCCAAACAACCTTCCGGGTCAGGTCGGCCGCAGGCTTCTGTCAGGTGTTGAATAAGGTGTTGAACTTACCTTTGGTTAGCAGGGAATGGAGGAATGGGGTACAACTACAACTACTATTGCAACCATTCTTCTATTCCCTACTAACCAAAGGTAAGTGAAGCCATGTTGCCCACGAGTGCTGCAAAGCGTGGTAACAGCGGTGAGGATGATGGCTGCCTTTCGCGCTTGGGCACGTTGATTTGCCGTTGGCATCACTGCCATGATCCGAAGGATCACAAGCAGGAAAGAATCATGGCAACTGCGTCTGGATTTCGATGTGAACTCACTGTGCAGGGCTTTGGAAAAGACAGCGATGCTTTCGTGGGCTTTGGAAGAAGCAAAATTGAAGCGAGGCGAAGTGCAACTCGTCAGTTTTTCGACCATCCAGATGTGCAGCGGTGCTGGAGTGAGCTGGACATCTCGAGCGGGCACGAGAAGGAGCTCAAGAAACAGAGGTGTGGGTGATCAATGGTGATCACCTCCAATCTTCTCGTGGTTCTGCCGTGGTTCTGCCTTTCTGCCTTCAAAGCTTGATGGGGTTTGCAAGCTGTTGAAGGCTGTTTGGTGCAGGGAATGTTTCAGCTTAGTGTGCTGCGTGATCTATGCTCATCGCCGTAGCGACATACCGCGAATTTGCGCTTTGGAGAAAAAGCGTTTCTGGTTGGCATGCGTGTGCCAGGCCACTAAAAATTGCGAAAATGCAAGAGCAGCTTCTCTTTCAGCTTGTCAGGAGTGGCAAAACATGCATCGAGGCCTTGGGTCAGTTTTCATTCTCTCGCAAGGGGGAGTGGGCGCTGCCTTAATTCGGCCATGCGCCGGAGATGCCTAGCAGGTCCCGAGGACTCCATACTATACTGGAGTACTGGAGTGTAGTACGCTATAGATTGTTTGCTGGTAGCTGAGTGAGTCATGTCGGCCATTTCCTAACTCCAAACCAACTAGCCACCATAGTTCGCCTAGGTCCTAGGCCACTGCCCTTTCCTGTTGGCAGGCGCTGGCCACAGAGGATGCTGCTTCTGAGGCCTCTGTACGTAGGTTCCGTTAAAGCATCCAGAATGTCCATGGGTTTAGGTTGGGTACGACCCCCACTCAGTAACAGTTGGATCATATTCATAATACAGATACATAAGGCCCGTAATAGTAGCCCTATTGTAGACTGCTACTGTATGGGGGCCGTACGCAAGGTTTAGGCGTTTTCGGGGGGTCGGATCACGGACTCGGCTTCCTGCAAGCCGTCGGTCGACTCGGATTTTCCCAAATGGGGGAAGAGGCCCCCGAAGAAAAGTGTGCGACCCGCATTTTCGAAAGCCCCTATACCCACAGAACTCTAAACCTACCATCGCAGGTGCAGACTCTCGAGAAGGACCGTGAAGGCATGCATGGCGGCCCGAAGCAGGCGCCGAGAACCAGCCCTGAACCTTAAACCGCACACCCTACTTGAAGGATCATGGGACTTAGTAACTAGGGTTATAATTACGGTAACCATGCTTATAACTACTTATAACCCCAATTAAGGTACTTATAACCTAACTTACTAGGTCTCCTGATCCTTCAAGTAGCAGGACCATAATTTCGACAGCTATCCTGACGCGTGACGCCAGTCCGCATGCGCTTGCTCTGGTCAGGTCCATGCAGGCCTCGAGGAATGGCAGCGCGCTCCCTCGGAGCTTCTCCAGATACTCCGGAATCTGGGATTCCCGGAGTCCGAGGCTTCGAAAAACGATGAGATGCAAGAAGCGAGATCTGTCTCTCGCTTTCCTCTCTGCTTGCACTGCGTGGAGGCTTCGGACTCCTGCCTTGCAGCCTCCGCGCCGAAGCAGCTCTCGGGGAAATGGAGGATGGAGGCCGCCGGATGACTTTTCAGGCTTTATCTTGTGCTTCGGACGCCTGGACTAGGATGCTAGGAAGCTCGCGTTTTGAAGGTTTAGGGAGTTGGTCTGCTGGAGCCGAGGGTTGGGAGATGAGGAGCTCCGTTCTTCCATCTTTGCCCTGTGCAGGTGGAGTTGGCCAAGGCGAGACACGAGTTCGCAGAATGCGCAGCAGCAGCCAGCGCATCCGTGATTTACGGTAGAAAGCTGCTTTTTGCAGGCACCCTGGCTTCGACCGAAGCTGTTCCTCTTGCACGAGCCCACCAATCACCTGGACTCCTGCAGTTACGAATGTCAGTTCCTTTTGGCTAGTGTCCCGCTTGGTAGAGCTTCCAGGATTTTCGGGCTGCTCGCGAGTGGCTCATTGAGCAGATCGCGGAGTATCCGCACACAGCGGTGGCTCCCTGGCTCGGATTGTGCTCAAAGCCTTGAAAGCAGAGCTGCTCTCCCTTGAAAGTTGAAAGGTCGTCTCGCATGACATGGCCTTTCTTCACAAGGTTTGCAAGGCCGGCGGGCCCAAACCCCTGCTGCGGAGTTTGAAGTTACGGGAGCTGCCAGGACATCATTTGGATGGCGGCGCAGAGGCAGGGAGAGGGGAGAGCAAGCCGCAAGACTGCCGCGCCCAAGCTCGGACCCGAGGCTGGAGACGTTGCCTGGAAAGATCTGCTTGTCGCAAGAAGATCTGCTCCGAATGCAGCGCCGGAAGCCTCTCCGATTGGAGTTCCGGGTGCCCAGCGGTGAGGCGCACAGATGGGCATTGACTGCGACCGCCCAAACATGGAAGCACTTCAACAGATCGAAGTCCCAGCTTCCCAAGCCTGAACGTCTCAAAGAGAGAAGCCTCCCTCTACGAGCCTCAAGGCTATAGTCCCCGAAGATACGCCTTCTTAAGTCTGTGCCAGGACCCGGTCTCTCGAGGAAAGTCGCTGCACGATGACGAGTTCACTTACGGCAGCCTGGCTGCAGTTTGCCTTCTCATCTCGTAGCAAGGATCCGCAAGCCTGGACCCCAAGCATATTCACAAGCTCTCACCGAAAAGAGCTTCGCGAGCTCCGGCATCCATCCCACGGCCGACAGAGGATGTCGTGGCACATGTCTTGACGTCTGTGCGTACTTACGTGTGCATGCAGAAGTGGATGTAAGCACGCGTATGTACATGTCATGTCCATGTATGTGCGTGTATGCGTGCAGGTATGTAGGTATGTATGCATGCATGTGTGCACGTATGCGGGCGTATGCACACGCGTACGTAGGCATGCATGGGTTAACGTATGGATACACGTGCATACCGATGACAGGCACCGAAAGCAGCGCGACGGCGGAATCGGGCAGTCAAGGCACATTCGCGAGCTCTCGGGGTTGCACCTGACCATGCACTTCCACCACTTCCACTGCACCCGTACCAGTTGCACCACTAATCGAACCATCTAGTAGCTGGTTCCCTCCGAAGTTTCCCTCAGGATAGCTAGAGCCCTTGAACGAGTCTCCTTGGGTTCCTGGGGTTCGTGGAGGCTGCAGCTCCTTCGTCAGACTCCCCAAGCGCCCCAGCAGTTCCCGGTTCTCAAAGGCCAAGAGACCGCACAAGCCTAGGCATCGAGCCAAGCCTTGAGGCGTTATTATAATATATTCTATTATGCTATATTATATGAAATTTACTATATTATATTATATTACACTATATTCTATTTTATTATATTGAACTGTAGGTGTTGGGATGTTGACCTGGTGCCTGTTTCGCATGTTCCGAGGGTCAGCCCGTCTTCGTCGGGACGCCGCAAAATTCAGCCTGAACTTGTGAGGGAAAAGTCTGCTTCAGAGGTGTCGGAGGGGCTTGTTTGATGCTGATCGTTTGAGGAGACGGTGCTGCAGTCTCTGTGGAGCCACTGCGCCTCCGTGGCTGTGGCCGAGCGGTGCTGCTGGGCCGGAACAGCTGCTCAGCTGGGATGGAAAGCCGCAAAGTATATAGCCAAGTCTGAAGCCACCGCAGTATCCATAGATTGCGGATTGCAAGCCGTGTGCCTTCAGAGGGATCTGTCTAGGTCTGAAAGGGGAGCGGCTGGAGTTGCAAACTCCGGGCACTTACTTTAACCTGTAAAGGGTTGTCTCACGCTCCTCGGTGATCGACAAGAGAAGCAGTAGATTGTCAGGGCCTCTGGCAAGTGAAATGCGTGTTTTCGATTCGGCCCACACATGCACCTCATGAGGTGGCGGGAAGTCAACCTTCATGAAGCGTGGTGCCGGGCGCCTGGAGCCAGGCCGGAGCCCGGTCGTAGGTGCACTGCCGTCACCCTGTGTTGCGGGTGCCGTCAGGCCGGGGAAGCGACGACGGCGTCTCCCAGGTCACCGAGGCGCAGGCTCGCAGTTCGGTCACAGGAATGTGAGGACTCAGGGAAGCCGGGCTGGATGTTGGGGACGGAGGGGTTGCTATCCTTCGGTGTTGGTTGACGCGACGATTTGGGGGCTTCCCCTGGATGCGGGCAATTGAGAGGAAGGCGCGACATTTCTGGCTTTGGGTCCCCAGAGTGGTTTGACCCAAACCCACAACCCTAAGTTGGAAGCAGCCAAACATGTGGGTAGTTGTCAAAACTGGGGTCCCTTTTTGGGTACCCTAAAATATAAGGCAAGGTGCCGTATTATAATAGGAGCCCCAAAAATAGCCCTAATTTTGACAACCACCCATGTTGCGCATCTGCAAAGGCACTCTTGAGGAGGCGGTGGCGGCCGGCTGCCATCCTGACCGCCCGACTCCTCAGTGTGGGTTTTCAGTTCTTCTGGACCCCATAAGAAATCCAAAAAAGGCCCTCCCAAGAAGTTCCTGATCCCCCATGAGGGCTGTGAAGCCTCGGGCTCGAGCGAGGCAGTTCCCAAGTCTCAAAAAGCAACACAGCGCAACGCACTCTTCGGAACCCACACGTGTTGTCAAAGCTTGCTGGGCCAAAGAGCTTGGGAACCATATGTGGTTTTCGTGTGAACACGTGTTTCGCCTAAGCAAGACCTTGTTAAAAACCTAAGCCTACGCGAATGTGCGGACACGACATTCTGAAAGTGTTTCTTCGCGGGACGCGTTTTGCTTGGGAAATGCCGAAATTTAAGCTGGTGTCCTACATTCGCGTCGTTTTCAGGGAGGCGCGGCTCTGGGTGCAGGCGCTTTTTTGTGGTTCTGGCTGGCGCGACCTTTTCGGGTTCTCGGATGTCGCTACTTATTGAGCTTCAACGGAGTGGGTTTCAGGTTCCGGGTCTTAGGGGTGTGGGGCTTGTACCGTTTGGGTGGAAGGTTTTAGCCCGGGACCCTCAACCCTAAAACGGATACTCGGAAACCCTCGCGGCCCTTCGGAGGGGCCCGATGTGGCAAAAAATTAAGGCTTTAAGCTACTTTCACTCCTTCAACCCGTCGAAGCATCAGGCTCTTTTGAAGCTCCGCCCCCGCCCCACATGTTTCAGCCGAGGACAGCGCGTCGGTCAGGCAGGCGCGGCCGTACAAGGCAACCCTGCCCTGGCATGCTTTCGTTGCCTGCTTTATGGGAGTTTCCGAAAATAGGGGGCCCTAATATAGTACCCTAAATAGTAGGATCCTTATTAGAGGGTCCACAAAATAAGGTACCCCTAATTTTCGGAAACTCCTTTATCGTGTTCACGGCTCTTTGGTTACGGGTACTACTACCTTGATCTCAGCATCTTACAGGTCCCAAGTCTTGCTCCCTCATGTCCCAAGGTCTGTACATAAACTTCCGGCATCTTGGGGCAGGAACAATTGCAGCGTGCCCCTTGTCCAGAAAGAGGGTGCTCTACATCGCAACGCCTTGTGCTAGCCACCACTTGAAGGATCAGGGGACTTAGTAGGTTAGGTTATAAGTACCCTGATTGAGGTTATAAGTAATCATAAGTATGGTTACCTTAATTATAACCCTAACTTACAAGTCTCATGACCCTTCAAGCAGCATTCCCTGAAACCAGTGGATCTCGCTGACGCCAGGCGCTGCTCTCCAAGCCGTTGTGCTATACAGTCGAGCCACAAGCTCGGGTGTCGTCTTCTTTCGCTGGAGGTAAAGTCAACATGTGCCTACTGGCCGTCTTTGGGGCGCAAAGCGCAGCGTCTTGTTCCAAAACCTGAGTAGTGCCATCAGTTGTAAACTTAGCTGCCATTCATCTTCACTTTTTCAGTTTCTGTTGTAGTCTTGACAGCCAAAACGGGTCCCTTATTGAGGTTCCTCAGGGTCTTAGTCCAAGCAGGCAGACCCCAACTTCGCAGAGCATTTTTTGGGCTTGCAGTTCTTTGCATGTTGTTTCAAAGGGTAAAAGGAGGAACCCTTAGTAAGGAGCCCTAGGTATAGAACCTTAACATAGCGATTATATACCCATTATGCGGTCCATGAGGTAGCTCCTTTTGCCTTTGGCTTCTTCTTTGGGTGCACCTGAGATCGGTCTGGCGGCGGTGGTTCAGAAAGCTGAGGAGGGCCGCGGACTGAGGGCTGCGTCAAGGTGAAGGGGTTTAGGGTTTGGGGTTTGGGGTTCAGGGTTTGGGGACGGTCGCGACGAAGGAAATCATGGCTGGGATTGGGGCTTTGTTGTTGATGGAGGGCTTTATGAACAGAAAACGGTGTGTCATCTGGAACTGAACAGTTCATGCGGTAGCATACACTGCGCTACATGCACACAACCTCCAAGCTCAAGCCCAAATCCGAATCCATAAACCTCATCCCCACAAGTGCAATTCACTCTCCTGTCATTCCTTGTGCCTTCTGCAGGATATCCCGTCATGCTACTCGTCATGTTTAGCAATCCAGCCTGCAATCATTCTCCTACTACACACTTAGTTAGATCAAAACGAGCACCAGCAAATCAAAACATACTGCACGTTGACATGCATTCAGCCCGCGCGGGCCCCAAATCGAGCATTAGAGCAAGCAAGAAAAGACACAAACTCCCAAATACACGCACCCAAGCCAATCATCAAACGCAGCACCAGGAAACCACAACACACAAGCACAGATTCTGGACAAAGGGGCCTGTGCTTTGTGACTATTCACAACTCAATATTGTCTCCCTTGTGTGGAGCATATGAGCATCGGACAAAACCTCCGTAAAGGCTAACATGACTAGAGCGCAACCGAGATGGTGAACAACCAGGGTCTAGTAGGAAAACCGATAGGGGCCGACCCATGTTTGAGCAACGTCAAGATGTAGTTGATCCCTGCATAATTGATAGGGGCCGACCTGAGATCTCGGCATGAGCAGGTCGAACAATAGCTTTAGGCCGCCGCTCATATGTGGGCGTTCGGATACGTGAGATGGTTCCGAAAAAAGGCCACAGGCGCCGATACGCGCCAAAAGAATCCCTCATGTATCCTTAGTTTCAGAGACTGCACCAAAGCTGTGGCCTCTGAAGCCCCTTGAGCCTTAACCTAGATCCGAATCCTTGCCTAAACTGATGGGGGCCCCAGCCCCCAACCAGGCCAAAGAGGTCGCACCGGTGGAGCGGGCCTGGTGCTCGGATTAGGGTTTCGAGATATCATGTTTACAGGCTTTAGATGGTCCTTGCTTAAGAATTGTTCAAGGGATCTTGGGTTCCCCCAGTCTTCAAGACGAAAGCGCTGGAAGCAACCCAGCCGCAGCTCTAGAACATCGGGAGGATGCCAGGAAACGGTCGGGTTTTCAGGGATTTGGGTTTAGGGCTACTTGGAGGATCAGGGGACTTAGCAAGTTAGGTTATAAGTGCCTTAATCGGGGTTATAAGTAGTTATAAGTATAGCTACCTTAATTACAACCCTAGTTACTAAGTCCCATGATCCTTCAAGTAGCGATTGGGGATCAGGGCTGAGGGTTTAGGGATTTGGGTTTAAGGCTCGGTTGGACATGATGGCCAGTAGATGAAGCATACTTCTCCTTGGTGACGGTGTACTATAGGGAGCCCCCAAGACTGAGAATGGGGTCTGGGGGTTTGGGGTCCAGTCTTCACTTAAATGGTACATCATAAGGGCTCTAGTGCGAAACGTGATTACTGACCATGTATTGAGATCGCTATGCTCGAACTTGGGGCTAGTTTTTTAAGTTTCCGGTGAGTCTATCCGCCTTGGTCGTTACGTTTCGACCGCCCCTGAAGTGCTTGACACCTTTGTGCTGTTGGAGCAGCTGAAGCTGAAGCTGAATTTCATGCCGAGTGACTGTAACAACGTAGCTGTCAAGCACCTCACTCATGAAGCTCGGGTTGGCTCCTGCCCCTAACCCTTTCAACTTCCCGTTCGATTTTCAACACAAGTCCTTGCTCTTGAGGCCGCAGCGGAAGGAACCATGGTGGCGGAGATTCCCCCAGCAACAGAGGAAGAGGTGGCCTCACGCGAGTTTCTCGTGAAAGCTTGGCATTTACTTGATCCGACAATGGTATAGATCACCACATGCCGAGGTCGTTCCCATGTCAGCAGGGCTTCCCCCTTTCGGCTTGATACAGGCAGGACTGATTTTTTTGATGCGTTCGTTGAAGCATTGACCTGGTCATATTGAAGGCTCCGACGCTGCCGGCGGCTGGTGCGGCAGCCGGCCCTTGCTTCATCGGCGGAGTGCCGCAGGCAAGATTCGAAAACTGCTGCCATCAGATAGATAAATTAATGTGAAGGTGTCCAGACCAATGCCGACGATGATGCCTGGATTCGGCTTCCTTCCTCCCTCCATGGGCCCAGAGGCAGGAGCTTTCAGTGAACGTGATTGTCATCTCTCATCAAAAGTGGGCCCTTGCAGGCGCTTCGCCCGAGACCACCAATGCCGCAGGAACCCCCCCCACCGCCGCCACCCGTGGAAACCTCAGAAACAGTATGCAGCATCGCTGAAGCATGAACAAAGCTTGGCTTTGTGAGGCCACGGGCCAGCTTCGGACTACTTTGGATGCTGGCCCCCCAGTCCCAATGTTTAATCCGGCTTCCCTAGCATGGTTCACTTAGGATGCTGTTGACCGTCGACGACCAGTAACCCCGCCCAAGAAGGCACGTGACCTTTGGCCTTTCAAGCTCGAAGAGACGCCACCCTGGCCAGGCTGAGAGCAAACTCGTTCCCAAGTGGTCGAAGGCCACAGACTGAGCAGCAAATCTGTTTCCAGGAGGGTTGCCTCGTTCGTGCAGGGCAATGCAAAGGGCAGCGCCGAGGAGATGCCGGCCAAACACTCAGGGTGAAGTGTTAATGTTTTGACGAGGATGCTTTGATAGATGGCGGCTTTGAGGCTTTGGAGGTGTGTAGACGAGGGCTTGCAACTTGCCGGTGGGTCGAGGAGAGAGCACAGGGGCAATCGGTAAGTCTTGAAAGATCTCAGTGGCATCGAAATCTCAGAATGAGGCTGGGCTTGGAGCAGATTGATCTAGCTGCACATCTTCAAACCTCACAGGATCACAGGCTTGTCACGCAGACCCGTTGCAGAGGAACCTGCCATCGCGGCTACCACGTCGGCATCGGACCCTGAGAATGAGGCTGGGCTGGGACCAAATCAATCTAGCTGCGCATCTTCAGATCACATGTCACAGGATCACCGGCTTTTCACACAGACCCGTTGCAGAGGAACCTGCCATCGCCGCTACCACGTCGGCATCGGACCCTCAGAATGCGGCTGGGCGTGGAGCAGATTGATTTAGCTGAGCCTCTTCAGACCTCACAGAATGAGAAGGTTCACGGTTTACTCGGATTCAGGTGAGAACGGGCAATGGAAGCTGAAATAAAGCGTAAAGCGTACTATCTAGGACAGGGTTTGGGGTTTGTGGTTGGTAGTCACAACCACAAGACTCATGTCGTTCAGGATGAAAGGACTAGTTACAAGGTTTAGGGCTGAGGTTGACCTGCACACTAGCAAGACACATCCGGGTGACCAACGATCGGGTCTTATCCGAATTCCAATGCTCTCTTCGTGTCCGAGTATGCGTCAGAACGTGCAACGGTTTTGTTGAGTTTGTGGTGTCCAAGCCACTCTTGATGAGCGTCTGTGTGTGCGTGTGGGCTACCAGTACGTGGTGTATGCTGTTGAGGCAGAGGTGCTTACGTACGAGGCATCTGCAGACCCCAACCATCTGTTAAGTAGGATCCACAATGTGAATACAAATTCAAAGCGAAACCGCCGCACCCTCAAGCTTCAACTGGCACCTCCATGCCCCTGCGAGGACGAGGAAATCGTCTTCGTCCCCAAGAGCTTCTCGGAGGCTTCGGCCTTTTCCTTCAGAGGTCGTTCTTGCGAGGATTGAGCCGACAAGGAAAGTTTGCGTTTAGTGCTTGTCTCAAGGGGGTGCTGGACAGTTTGCTCATCACGCGATTTCCTGCCTCGTGCCTGCCTCGCAGGTGCAGATGCCCTCAAATAGCCTCTCGTGCCTCGGCCATTCTCAGCCTCCGAAGATTCCGGTTGAAAGCTACATGGACCGGAGTCGTCACCCCTCAGGTTCGAACAGATGCCGCCGTCCAATTCGGACGGCCTGCTGGCGAATCGTACTTTCATGCGCGCAGTTGACGCGGCAAGAGCACAGGCGGCTCAACAGAAAGCGGAGGCCGGGGATGCCTTCTGCCTTGGGTCATCTTGATTGTGTGCATGTCGTTGTCACAGGAAGCGGCAACTCGCTTGCCGGGCGGCGTTAAGCGGCAAGCACAGCTCTGTTTGAGCCAACTCTCCATGGAGAAGCTTTACGAGGGTGACTGGCTCGCACTCATAACACCCCCCGACATGAAGCAGTCACAGGCCGCAGCCAAGCACCGCTTTTTCGTTTTGAGGGGAAGCGATGTCGACACGCTCAGGTAAAATTGTCATAGCCTTCAAGTTGGGCGACTCGCCTGCACTTGAACCATCACTCATTCCAAGAACTGTACCTGGACATGCTCTTGTCGACACTTTGAATGGAAAGGGACGACGAAGGGGTTTCTTAAGGTAGTGGAAGTTTCACATCGGCTGCACGTCTATGCTGGTTTTCACCGGCAGCAACCTCCACAAGTAGCTGGTGCACACTTGCCCTGCAATTGCCTGACTCTGCCAAAGGACTCCTTGTAGACATCAACGCGGATGTCTTGGGCTTGCTTCGCTGGAAGCATGTGAAGGGGGTGCCCAGGACAAGCTTGCGGTGCTTCATGGCTTTACTGTATAAATATATACTCGGTTTTGGCTCGGCTTTCGATAGTGCACACTGCTGGTGGATCCGCATCGCGTGGGACTCCAGGAAACTCCTGAAAGAAGGGGGCAACTTGGCCAACCTTCGTGTCGAGAAGGCGCAGTGGCACATGATGTGGGCTCTGGGAGTTCTTTTTCGGAGTTCTTGACCTCGTGCCGACGTGCGGAATGCTTCTGAAACGGAACGAAACTGGGCATTGTACGACTACAGTATATAGTGTCCCTGTCACAGGTGCGAGGAGAAAGATTTACTCTGCGCCTGGAGTGCGCCGAAGTTGCAAGACCTGTCCGGCTCAGGGCTTGTTCAAGGCTTCAGCGGGTTCGTTGGAGCCAGTATCTGCCTTCGATCTCGAGGCATCGGCCTCCCCGGCCAGACCTTCGAAGAGACCGAATACCCGGACATCGTCGCCCGGGTGTACGACTGGGCCATCGCGCCAAAGCTGCTCGATGTCTCAGTTTCCGAAGAAGAGACTACTCCGACAGCTGCACAGAAGCAGCGACTTGGGAGAATGGGCCCGAGAAATGTCGGGGACGGCGAGGGGCTCGCAATCCGCGGGCCCGCGCCCTTTAATGCCCGCCGCTTCCTTCGACCCGGCAAGTGCGGGCCACGCTACTCGGACCAGCCGTGAGGGTCGTGGTAGAAGTTGTTGGGTCCAGTTGCAGCATGTGCACAGAGCCGACAACTGCGTGCCATATGTTGTCGCAGCATAGGCATAGAGCAATCACCAACAAACACCGACCTGATCTGTGGTTTCTTGGCTGGTGGTGGCACCAACGATCTCACCTCGAGTTGGGGGGGCTTGCTGATCCTGCAAAGCAGGGGCCCTTCTACAGCCCAAGATGCGGAGAAACACAGCAAAACGTGTATCAGTGTATTCTTTGCTCTGTGTGGATCTGCTGACCAACAAGCTGTCTGCCTGACGGTCAGAGTCGGGAATCATTTGGCAGAGTGATACTTCGTGGAACGGCTGGTTGGCAATGTCTGTCCATCTTCGCTAAGAGATAAACCGCCAGGCGGGACAATGCCCTAAAGTTTTGTTTCGACTGTTCTTCCGTTCTAACGCTAGGTTTGTCGTTGTTCGCTATCTCGCAGTTGCTTCTGAAGTGAGCCGTGGCGTAAGGCCGTTGTTTGACGTTGTACAGTTTCAGGTTTAGTGCTTCTGAGGATTATGTTCTGTTTGGTCGGACCAAGCGCAGCCACTGCTGTCATGATGCCGACCCTAGCCAACAATCTTTAATCTGCACTACATGTCGAAACTGAGTCGAAACCCAGACAACCAACTTCCAGAGCAAGCTTTGTGCACGGCCGGTTCAAATGATCCGTTGAAGGTAGGATGCACGCAACACCATCTGTAAGTATGGTCCCCATGTCGCGCAACAACAAATGAGGGAATTTTGCCTTTGTGCAGTTGGGGGTTCTTCGAGTTCCCGGGGTACCCAATCCTAAGTTGCGAGTTGGGCTTGGGGCACAAGTGAGCCCGAGGCCTTAAAATCACCAATCTAAACGGCTGGAAACCGGATTTGGTAATATGGGAAATAGCGATAGTAGTAGCAGCAGCAGCAGCAACACTAGACGAAGATGCTCTTGGGAGCCCGGTAGGTTGTAGGAGTTTAGCTTCCCGATTCCATCGCCGCCTTGATCGCATCTTCGTGCTTCCACTGCGAGGCTGACTCGGTTTTTCCATCTAATTAGCCTTGAGATCCCAGTACCCCTTAATTAAGGAATATACCTTGCGTCATAATAAAGCTAAGCCTCCCCTTCATTTAAAGGTGCATTTCTGGGAGGTGCCAAGCGGCCTCGGTAGACGTTTTCCATGAGTTGCAAGTATGGTCTTGCAAGGTTTTGTAGGCTTTTCTAGGGCTTGGAAGGTGCGTGCATAGGACGTGGAGGTTCATAGCAGGGTTTGGGCATCTGGTGGGTTAGATGAGGCTTCCGTCGGATGAATGCATCTGTGGACCCCAGAATAGGGAGCACCTTCGCCCCTCGTCCTCGTTTTTCTTATACATGATTTTATTTGCGCGCTGTAGCAACTCTTATAGCAACACTACTGATGGTGACTTTGTAGATCCTCACTTTCGTTGCTCGCATCGCTTGTCCCGAGCTGCTTAACTTGCGGAGGTGCTTCATGGGATGTACGCAAAGCGCAGCCCCACGTCGCCAGGCGCCTCAAACAGCAATAGTTAGTCTGAGAGAAAGAGAGAGAGAGAGAGAGAGAGAGAGAGAGATAAAGGTGTTTGTACATGTGCACGTGCATCTACGCGTACGTGTATGTGTACATGTTTGTGCATGCATGTCCGCAATTAGGCATGCGTGAATGTATGCATGGCTGCATGTCTGTCTGTACGTCTGTATGTCGGTATGTCCGTATGTCGGTATGTCTGTATCTCTGTCTGTGTGCATGGATGTATGTCTGAATATCTGTATGTATGTATGTTTGTTTGTTTGCTTTTTGTACGCTGATGGGTTCGTACTAATCGTGCCAGGCTGTCTCCCTGTCTTGTCGGGTTGTAATGGCGATCGGCAGCAAGTTTCATGCCAGGCGAGGCGGAGCGAAGTACCGACAGATGAGCTGGCGCAGCTGGTGCATTTCGGGGCATGGATGCTGGAGGTGCACGCTGTCTTCGGCCCTGAGTCGGGTGTTTAGGGTTTGAGGTTTTTTGGTGCTTTTCAGGTTTAAGGGGTTTAGGGTTTAGGGTTTGGGTTTGAGGGGTTTAGCCAATTGCAAGGCACCCCCCGTCATTCCAGAGCCCCGCCATGGCAGAATTGTCGCTGGATCTCTCGGTTAAGCTGAGCTTAGGGCTTAGGGAGGGTTTAGGGTTTAGGGCTTAGGGTTTAGGGTTTAGGGTTTAGGGTTTAGGGAGGGTTTAGGGTTTTTCGGAGTTTGGGATGTTGGGTGTTGAGAGTTTCGGAGCTTAAGGTTGAAGTCCTAAGGGTTTTTCAGGGCTCCTGGAGGGTTTTGACACATGGGTAGTTGTCAAAATTATGGTCCCTTCTTGGGCACCCCAAATATTAGGTGCCGTACGATGATAAGGACCCAAAACAGGACCCTAATGTTGACAACCGCCCACATGCTCAACGGATCAGGAGACTGGTAAGTAGGGTGGGACGGAGGGCAATGCTCGCTGCCTGGCCACTTCTAAGCCATTGAGAAACTTGAGGTTGGTTACTACCAGTCACCACTTCCAAGCTGAACTGCCATGAATGTACAGGGGCCCAATCTGAGGGAAGGCTAAACACAAAAAGCATAAAAGCCCCTTAAAGAACCCGCCAAACCCTAAACCTGAAAAACCCCAAAACACCCCAAACCCTAAACACCCCAGACCCCCCAAACCGTAAACCCTAATCAGGAGGGAGCCAGGAAAGACCTGGTTTTTGTGTTGCTTCTGATCGCGGGAGCCCGCATCTTGGCACAGGAGGCTACTGCAGCCTCAAAAAGTCATAGGAGAGCTGCTACAAAAGGGTTTCCAAAAGGGTTCTATGAGAGTTACTACAACGGTTCCCAGAAGGGTTTAGGGTTCAGGGGCAAAGGGTTAAACTGTACTGGTTAGTGCGTAGAAGTCGCTAGAATCGGCCTACTTGCAGGGTTGCGGTTACTACACGGGTTTCGAGAAGGGTTTGGGTTTTGGGCTTAAGGGCGTTGTAGGAGAGTTACTGCTAGCAAAAGGCATACCGTGTACCGGCTACTATAAGTGAATGGTGGTAATTAAGCGGGTTCTATGATATTGGGGCTGTAAGAATTTGAGTAGGGTTCCTTTCAGGCCTTCAAGCCTTGAGAACCAAGTTTATGAAAGTACTTTCAAATTTTATACCAAAGCCGCCCAGGAAAGGTTAATTTCAGAAATTTGAATCCTGAACCTCCATTCGTGCAGCGTTTCCCTTCTTTCGTGCGAGCTTGTGTGCGAACGCCGAAGCTGCGAGCCTTGCTCCAAAGTCATCATGAGGTGTTACATCGCACCCTAAACCCTACACCCTAAACCCTAAACCCTACACCCTACACCCTAAACCCTTTTTAGCCCTGAACCCTAAGCCCTAAACCGTGGCCCTGAGCGCAACGGCGAAAGCCGAGGATCCCAACCCGAAACGCTGGAGCCTGAACCCGCAGACTCTGAAACCCTTAAGAACCCTAATCCACACTGAGGCCCCAACATAGGCTCCACCTGGTAAGGTATTCCTACTGGTACATTAGTCGGAAAAAGGGCCCGCAAAAAAAATTGAGAACCCTAATCCCTTAAGAACCCCTAGACTCCGAAACCCTTAAGAACCCTCATCCTTGTGCGAGATCCCAGGAAGCACCATCAGCTCAGCGTTGATGATCCGTTTTGCCAACGCCTTCCGCAGCTGGGTTGAGGGAAGGTCGAGGTTTCGCGCAAGTTTAGGGTGTAGGGTTCTGTGAGAGGGTTTTATAATGGTGTTATGAAGGTTTGGTTGTTGGTGTGTCCAGTCTTAGTCTTCAGGGTTTAGATTCTAGGGGGCTCCGATGGTTCTTTGATGGGGTTGTTAAGAAGTTTTCGTTTACTGTGTGTTTCGCGGGTCCTGAAGAGTTCAAAAGAGAACACTACTATGTAAGGCATTTTTCCAATTGTGTTTGGAAACTTCCCTTGTTGTCTGAATTTTCATTTTTTTGGGGTCAGGCACAAACTAGAAGCCCAGCACCTCAAATTGTGTGGAGTACTGCGATATTGCGAAGAATTCAGGTGCACCCCTGTGTCTGTCAGGTTTCGGGCCTTACGCTACATTGCACTTATGCAGGCAGTCAGTCTCTGTAATATACATATTTCCATATATCTGCGCACAAAGAGGCACAGAGCCAAGGCAAAGTACGGGATGACTATGTGGTGAATCACACAGACCAGACTCCCTCAGGCCTGCGGCATCCGGGGGCAGGGCATCCCTATACCCTCCACCCCAAGCCCTAAGCCCGAAAACCTGAACCCTAAACCCAAAACCCTAAACCCTAAACCCCCAACCCTATACCCTCCACCCCAAGCCCCAAGCCCGAAGCCCTTCGCCGTGAACCGGGTCTTTCTTGCCATCACGATTGAAGTTCTCGTGGGCAGAATGCAGCAAAACGCTGCTACAGTAGACCAAGTACTGTCGGCTTTCTGACTCCAAACACCAAAGAACGACATTAAACCTCTCCAGTTTGGTGCCTCCGGCCTGGGGTCTTGAAGCCTGAACTTCCAACCCCGAAGCTCTCAGGCATAAATTTGCCTGAGCTAAGCAAGGCTTGCAGACGACAGCTTTAAGCCGTGCAGCCTACACGCAAGTCACAAAGCCGCTCCAGATCTAAAGGTAGTAGGATCCTGTTGAAAGGAATGAGCTCATATAAGCCGTGATGCAGGACTAGGAATTTCGCCTAAAACCCGAAGCCTTAGCATTGTCCCACTCTCTAAACCCGGCAAAATCCTGACCGATCAGCAAGCCGAGAGCCTACTAGGTATAGAACCTTAATATAGCTCTTATATACCCATTATATAGTCCATTATAGGGTAGGGGTCCCCATTAAGGGTCCCTCCTTTTGCCCTTGGATAATCCCTGAAGCCAAACCGCACATCCGAAACTCTGCACCCTAAGCCCTAAACCTTCAATCCAGACCATATCCTGAGCCTCCTCAGCCCTACGCATTCA